AATCCTTCTCGAAGACTCGCTGTCTTTCAACTTGGCACCGATGAGCAATTTTTTTGTAGCTTTATATACTTAAATCCTTTGATAGAAAAGTAGATTTTTTTTTTTTTACTTGAGGATTGCGATAGAAATTTGTGTTTGCTTGCTAATAAACTATGGAAACTAGAAAGGAAAACGAACTTATTAGTAGTATGCCCTAGGTTGGCTTAATTCCTCAATATTTTTGCTACATTTTTGTATGAAGTTGCGTGGAGCTAATGCAGCGAAAATGGAGTTGAATCAGCGTTTCTATGGGCTGAGATCTTAGCCGATTTTAGCTATTTTTGTCCCTTCATAATGAGTTGATCTGGGTTGAATCCCCAATCCCAACATGGGTTCTAAACCCCAACTAGAAAAGAAAAGAAAAAAGAAAAAAAGGGGAAAGAAAAGGGAAATGAGGAAGGAGGAAGGAGGAAGGAGGAGGGTGGAGAGTAGAGAGAAAAATGAGAAAGGGAAAGAATGATGCTGCTGGATTGGTGTTGATGTCGGTGCTGGAGAATAGGGAAAAGAACAAAAATGGTAGAGAGGGATAGGGGTTGAAGATAAGGGAGGGTTAATATTCTAATGGTATATTTTTTTTCTATTAAATTTATAAAAATTATCAAATCATTATTTTTTTTTCCACGTAATTTTTATGAAATAAAAGTATTAATTCATGGCAAGTTAACGTGCCAGCTGGGCACTTTCATGACGGAAGGACCATTTGGGTTCTAAAAAAATAAAGTTGAAGGATCGTTTGAGTGATTTCTAAAGTGAAGGACGAACTAAGTTTTGAAATGAAAGTTTAGGGACTAAATTAAGTATTAAACCATTTTTTATTGATAATTTGGAAAAAAATTTTGTTTTAAAGTTGCAAAGAATCCATTTTTCATGGCTTGCACTACTAGAAATTTGGCATTTTCCAACTAACCATACAGAATTCATACTAGCAAATGAGTTATTTTTCCATATAATCGATAGAGAAGTTGTCGATTATATTTCTAAATAATCGACAACCAATTTTCTATGGATTATACAAGTATAATCGACAGAAAATTTGTTGATTATATTCAATGCATAATCGACAACCAATTTTCTGTCATTATACTTGTATAATCGACAAAAAAAAGTTGTTGGTTATAGGCTAAATATCTTTTTTGGTCCCTCTACTATAGGAAAAAGCCTATTTTTAGTCCTTATATTGAAAAAATCCTTTTTTAGTCCTTACTGTTTGAAATCCGGCCCCTTTTTAGTCCCTCTATTAAATTTTTTAACAGGTGGCAGTTAATTAACGGAATTGTGTAGTGTGGAAAATCCACTTTGTAGAAAAAAATGATTTGGACATATTTTTTAGCCCACGTCAACATCTTCACCCTCTTGGCTTTTTTTTTTAATCTTTGTTGTATTCGTCCGCGCTGGGTTCGCAAAAAACCCAATGAACCCAAGACAAACCCAGTGCGCATTCTGGGTTTGCGACAAACCTAGCATGTGCCTGGGTGGGTTCGTCCTGGGTTCGCGAAGAACCTAGCTCGCGCTTGGGTTTGTCGCGAACCCAGAAGGCACGTGCTAGGTTCGTCGCAAACCCACCCAGAAGAATTAAATCTGGTTTCAGAATAAAAAGGCAAGGTGAAATATTCTCTCATTTTATCAGGGCCATTTTTGGAATTAAATCTCTGCACCCATAATAATGTAGCATTGATTAGGGAGGAATTATTCCTTTCAGTCTTTTACACAAGAAGAATACAATCTGAATGTGGGATTTTGGTGCAGGATGAAGTTGAAGCAAACAAAGGTGGATTGCGAGTATTTAAAGAGGTGCTGCGAGAATTTGACGGAGGAAAAAAGGCTGTTGCAGAAGGAGGTGCAGGAGCTTCGAGCATTGAAACTCTCTTTGCAGCTCTACATAAACATGAATCCTTCCACCACCCTCACCATGTGCCCATCCTGTGAAAGCATAGCAGTTCAATCCTCGTCTTCTAATTCTACGACTGCTTCATCCACTTCAGCTCCCAACCACCAACAAAGGCTGATACCCTTTAGTCCTTGGGCTAGTTTGCCAATTGGCCACCATCGACTGCTTGATGCTCTGGCATCTAGATCGTAACCGTCAATGGGATGATGGGGTTGGGGACATTGATGTTTTGGAAGCTTGTGTATGAATATGTTTGGAGGAAATTAATGAT